GCACCTCCCTGAAATTGCTTCTTTCAGGTTGGGATCCCTGAAGAGGGGACTCTGGACTGCCATGTAAGGGGGGCTGTGATATAAGAGGGAACCCTGGACTGCCATGTAAGGGGGGCTGTGATATAAGAGGGAACCCTGGACTGCCATGTAAGGAGGGCTGCGATATTAAAGGGCACTCTGGACTGTCATGTAAGGAGGGCTGCGATATTAAAGGGCACTCTGGACTGTCATGTAAGGAGGAACACTGATGTAAGTGAGACTCTGACTTTCATCAGAGGGGGGGCATGTTCAAACCATACTCGGACCAGAAAGTTTTTTTGTCATCACCTGAAATGCATCCCAATGTATTTCTGGGATTTGTTAATACCAGTGCAGTCAAAAAAAATGCTGCATGCACTATTTTTTTCTGGCCTGGAACGCACCAAAACACATGTAAACGCATCAAAAATGCACGCAAATGCACCAGACTGCACCTGAAAGCCAATTTTAAGCTAAAAATCAAACAAAAAAATGCACCAGTACATGTCAAATCGTACCACACCGCGCTTGCAGATCTGATCTAGATCTGGTCCGGACATGGTGTGAACAAGCCCTTAATCAGGATCCCCAGAGTTCCCCTTTACATCAGAGTCCTTGGAACGCTGAGGTAAAGGAGGACTCTAGGTACTCTGACGTAAGGCAGATCTCTGGGGGTCTCTGATGTAAGGGGGGCTCTGGTGACCCTGTTGCTAGGTGGGACTCTGGGCACCATAACCCAGACTCCCCATAACCCCGCTCACATCAATGTCCTTAGGACTCTGATATAAAGGGGGACACTGATGTAAGGGGGAACTCAGGGGACTCTGATGTAAGGGGGGACTGTGATGCAAGGAGGACTCTGGGGACTTTTTAAATCAATGATTTGTGTTGATAATATGATAAAGTTATTTAACATACGGGTCTCGGATTTTGAAAAAGTGTACATATTTCACCGCACACCTGACCAATGTACCCAATGTACCCCTTGGTGGCTGCTGACGTGACAATGGCGCTGCATACATGCAAGAAGTACATATGTCACCAGCACACGAGGATCTTCATTCAGTAACATTTATTGATGTTCAATCATAGTATCACACGTTATGTCTGATGAAGGACCCCTTAGTGGTTTTAACACATCGCTTTTTGTGTGACATTATGACTGAACATCAATAAAATCATTATTGGATGAAGACCCTCAGTGTGCTGGTGACCTATTTACTTCTTCGATTTTTGAAAGGGGCACAATTTCAGTGCTGGCCATAGGCGCTATTTTCAGCAGAGACACCTCTGTTTGTGGGCACTCTCTTCCTGACTGCTGACCACCTGCTGAGTGGAAGCAAGACAAGAAGGAGAGAGCCATGGAGGAATCCAATCTGGATGCTCAGGAAGTTAGACTGCATAAGATAGAGTGTAAGGTGAAGGCAACTAGCCAAACGTGACTGGATGGGCTGGAAAAAAATCATTAGAGCTAACTACAGAAATTGCATAGGTGGCAACACACCTTAAAACCTCCTTTTATATTCATTCTTACACACGTTCTGTATCTGGTGGTAATTCACCAGATACAAAATGTAGGAAGAACTATTATAAAGGAGGAGACGTAAGGTGTGTAGCCACTAGGGATGTGCATGGGCTTGGTGTAAACCAAATTCACCCGAACCTGTACATAACTGTCAGTGACAGCCCCTCATCAGTTGCAGCTGGAGCACAGCCCCACCTAACAATTGGTTGGGGAATAGACCAGCTCTGGTTAATAACCCAGGCATGGGTGACCTTGGTCCTATGCAATCTGTGTAGCTGTACTGACATTTATTTCCAGCCTATCCAGTCACTGTTAAAAGAGAACTGTGGGGTAAGTGTTTTTGCCCATAGTTCTCAGGGTCACGGGAGGACATACTAGCGTCCTCCCATGATCCAAAGCTCAGTATATAGCGAGCTACAGCTCGCAGTATACTGAGAGCGCCGCAGCTGGGATGGATCCCGACATTGCTGTCGAGATCCACTGAGCTGCGTGAGTGACAGCTGGCTCTGCCTATCTAGAAGCAGAGCCAGCTGTACCCGCCCCCTCCCCCGTCTGTTCCACCAGTCAGCACTGGAGGATCGGAGCGGTCGGGGAGAATCCCTGCAGGGAGCCGTGACTGATAGTCACGGCTCTCTGCAGGGACATGATCGAGAAGTGAGTGAGCGGCGGTATGCGTTCGCTCACTTGCCGATCTATTGAGCCGACGTGTGACAGTTTCATTGTTACACGTTGGCTCGATCTATGAGGATCTTCACTCATCTCACCTATGAGTGATTTTCACTCACCTCATAGTTCTCCTTTTAAGTGACAACAGTGAAAAGAATTCAGCATATTTATGCGGCTGGGATCACAGGCTTCGCCCATGATAACCCCTGGACACACAATTAATGCTGATCATTTGGGGCTAATCACATGTAATCACTGCATGTGAGACAGCTACTGAGCCTGGCAGACTGTCATTGCTTTCTATAGGCTTAGTCACTTTTTGGGTATTGTGATAGCAGTGCACCTGTCACTGTCTGAATACATTAGCTACGGCATGAGACTCCACCATCCACACTAAACAGCATGGATGAACAAATCTGTTACATTTGTTTCTCTAATCTAACAGATTCACTCATCTAAATATAACAATGTATGGCCAGCTTAATTCCCTATTGTAAACACAATAAAAAAAATGCTATTACATACATTTTTAAGAAAACCTGTCATGAGAGCTCTACGAGCGTAGTCAACAAAGCAGCCAGCCAACTGATATTTTTTTTGAACCCTTCATGCTTCTGCCATGACCCCTTCACTTTAATTTACAACTGACCATCATTTGATTTGAGAGCAGGCTATCTTTATCAATATATCATACCTGACTTGGGGGAGCAGCTACACAGTCTGCATCTCTGTTGGATGCAGACCGCATAGCTGCTCTTGACGGTGTCGGCACTCAGTGTGAGTTACTGAGCACCAGCCGTAAGGAAGGATTAATAAGGTCTGCACCAGCCAAAGGTGCAGACTGTACTAATCAACCACTGGACCATCAGGAAATGTGCCCCGTCCCTGCAAAAAAATGTAAGCAGGTCAGGGGGCTCTTTTTTTTATTTTAAGAAGTTGTGAGAGTGTGTGTGCATTTCTGTGTGTGTATTATTGTGAATTAGTATGTGTATTTCTGGACTGACAGACCTGATCTTGCTGGGTCAGGGATAATCTAATGTAAACGGTCCCCTTCCATTTACATCCGAATCCCCATAGACCGATATGAGGTCCGGCAGCTTAAGTTCTCTCCTCCAGTGTGAGAAGGAGGAAAAAACTGGATGGGCATGGAAATCCCCTCCTGATCAACGTATGTGTAAGGGGCCTTACAGTTTGAATTACATTATGCTGAAAAGTCATGTATAACACAAACACTCTGGTGGGATTCCAGCCTACATGAACGTTGTGAAAAAAGTGAATGTAGCCATAGCGCAGCAGCTTTTATATTTCACTCCTTCCATAAGCGCAGATTTTACATTATTTCCATACATGAACGTTGTCCCTGAGAATAACACAACCTGATAACATTGCAGTTGATCTGACTTTCATAAAATGTTTGCTTTTATGTTGAACATTTGCGGTTATTGTTGTTGATGTGGTGTTTTCCTTTATTCCTCTTTACATTCTTTAGGAATGTCGCCTGTTGAAGGAAGGCTCTGTTTTGTTGGCTGACAATGTTGTTTATCCCGGGATTCCAGACTTTCTTGAGCACGTCAGAACCTGTGGACGATACGACTGCACTAATTACCCCTCACATGCACAATATATGAATGTAGATGATGCTTTAGAGAAAGCTGTGTTTATAGGTTACCTATAATTTCTTGAATAGGCACTTCATTACTCATTCAATGTTATAAAGAAAGGGGAGAAATGCCCTTTGTTCATATTTTTATGAAATGTAAATTTGTTTTAAATAAAAGGCTTTACGTTCTTAGTAACTTTTTGCAAATGTCTATGTTACCCTTTTATCCTGAAATACTTAAAGGGGAAAGCAAAATATACTCTTCTCAATAGCTTGAGCCGGCGTGTGACACTGCAGCTGTCACAAACACTCTCTACTTTTGAGAGGGTAGACTTCGTAAATAGTTGTGATTATACAAAGGAAATGATCCCTTTCGTATTAGTAGAAGAAACCAAAGCATCAATCATATGCATAGGAGAGACATTAAACTCCCCCAGCCCTGGCTGAGTTTGCAATGCATGTCAAAGTTGTATATACTAAGTTCTTATCATGCAAATTATACATAGACTGTAACTGCTGGATAACTATTGGATAACTAAAAGGATACATGCTGCTTGCCCATTACAGAATCCCTTCAGCTTGCAGATTTCAGGGAGATAGTCATTGTACCACAATGGGGATAATCTAGTAAACCTCATAAACATCTTTGCAACTCCCAGATTTCCCCATCAATCCCATGGTTGCAATATACAAATATGTTCTAGCATATCCCTTAGTCTTCAAAAAATATAAAGGTTTAACCCCTGGAAAAAGATAATATAATATATTAAAAGACTTGCCCTTCCCCCTTCCTACCAGATGTTGAAGATGAGATGCTAAAAAATACATTGCCAATCCTCCTAGCTCCTATGGCCTTTGTAACATTTCAAGTTGTAACCTGGGCTGCTTTTGTTTCCAGATCAGTGCTCTAAAAAACAATAATAACCTGTTTAAAAATGTTTGCCAGGATTCCAGCATGGAGCATTATGTAACAAGTAACTGTGGCATCCAAATCATTTTAGTAAGATTCACCCTTTCAGCAACTGAAAATGGAAGTTTATACCAGGATCTTAAATTTCTGCACAGAGATATTTAATTCAGCGTAATATGTTCAGTAGGGTTCACAGAGATACATATACCTTTTATATTTTACCAAAAAATTGGGTAATAATAAATGTTTTATCATTTAATATAGGGGAAACTGTTTTTTTTTTTTAAATTTCGGTAATTTTTCCTTAATATAGTAAAAAAATAAAACCCCCAGTGGTGAATAAATACCACCAAAAGAAAGCTCTATCTGTCCCCAAAAAAGGGTATAAAATTCATTTCAGTACAGCGCTGCATGACGGAACAAATGTCAGTTAAAGTACCGCAGCGCTGAATACTGAAAAATGGCCTGGATGGGAAGGGGGTTTAACACCGTGGATGTCAACTGGTTAATGATAGGGGTGGGCCAGAGACAGTTGTTTGTAATAATACAGTCAAAGCTTTCTTTAAAAAATCCCATTTATGTAGTGAGTGCTGCCTTCCGATTGCCCATCACTTTCAACAACTTCCTGGATTCCCAGTGTGCTTTGTATCTCCTTACCTGCTGCTTGATGTGATGCAATGTTGATTTCTGAAGACTACATATCCCATCATGCACCGCTTCCAGCAAGCAATGATGATGTTACAATGTTTAGACATTGAGTTGTAGTTCAGAAGGCAGGCTCTGTGAGAGTGGTGACACCAGGAATTTCATATTCAGTGAAATAGTGTCAGTGCAATGAGGCAGTACAGTACATCCTATGAGCATCTTCAATAAGTAAGTTTACAAACTTCTAGATGGATCTGGTTATTAGGAGTGGGATAGATCTTCAATATAGAAACACAGATTTATTTGAAGTTTTTGACCAGAGATACCATTTGAGTAGCAAAGACCTCATGAACTGACTTATTTTGAATGATTTGTTGTGCACAAGCTTATTTCTGTACAGCTGTACTTTCCCACCACTGCACTTAGTACAATCCTCTCCTTTACAGAAAGGTCAAAGAAATCCTGTTCCAGAAATCATATACTATGCACCTTTCTACAGCAAACACCATTGCTGGATACAGTCCTTAAAGGAGAGATCCAGGAATTTGTTTTATTAACCCATGCAGTGGGGCTAACTGCTCGTTTGTGTCTAGGTGCTAAAATAAAGATATACTCACTCGATATTGTCACTCCGCTCCCTCCAGCCTGTCTCCCTCTCTGCAGCATTGGAATCTTCCTCAGCATCCTCGCATCTATACACTGTGTATAGGATGTGATGATTTATGGGACCGTAGACCACTGCAGAGACATTGGAAGGACCGGTCTAAGAACAAGATGGCTCCAAGGATCGGCTGAGTATAACTTTGTTATTTTTGTCCCTAGACACAAATGAGCACTTAACCCTACTGCAAGAGTTAATAAAAAACATTCCTTCTTTCAGTAGGTCATGTGCCCTTAGGTAACACATTATCTGGAGTACATATCAGGAAGGACAGGTTAGATTCATTGAGGTATGTAAAGGGTTGATGTACAGTCTTGGATTGGGGCTTGGTTTCTACATATTTACTATGCAGAGGGTGCTTGGAAATTTCCCTTGTGCTTATGGTAAGTTCATTATACCATGGCCGGTCTCCTGTAACATGAAAAGCAGTTTTCAGCTGTCTCTTGCAACATGGCAGTAGTCTCTAATATGAAAATCTCTTTTACCATGTATCCCTCCTTAACATGACAGTGTCTTGTGCCTTGCAATACGACAGCTCACTATTGAGACATGACAGTCTTATGGAAAGCCCGTGACATACTGCACACAAAGCCGCGAGCGGCAGAGAGAAGCTCCGAGGCATGGACATTTGCATGCAATCATTGCAATGTGTGAGAGCTCGAGTAGCTGAAAGACTTCATCTTCAGCCAATTAGCTCACGCGTATGAACTCAATGGAATTTGTGTCCTGACGCACAGGTTCATACACGTGAACCAATTGGCTGTAGATGAATTTTTTTATCTCAGCACGCTGAGCTATACGAGCCCTCACCAGCTGATGAGAGGAAATTGCAAGATACACTGCACACAAAAGTCCGCACAACGCCACTTCCCTTTGCTTCACGTGGCTTTGTGTGCAGCATGTCACAGCCTTAATAAGACAGGTCTGCTAATGCATGGTAACTCTGCCTTGTAACTTGGCAATCTCTTATACCACGGCTTCTGAGCTGAGGGTAGAAGTATGCAAATCCAAAAGTTGGTTTATTGTTACAAGTCAGGGCTGGTTCTATAGAAATGGTCTTGCATTCCTTTTCTGCTACTGATATCCACACTATGGTTACCAGCAGGGCCGTCCCTCTAATGAAGGGAACCCGAGATTGTTGCACCTTGCTCATTTTTTTCAGGCAGTACACAAGTGGGGGACTCTGATGTAAGTGGGACCCCTCTAATTTTTGTCTAAGGAGGTACTCTGGACTTTCTTGTAAGTGGGAGCACTGAGATAAGGGCGAACTCTGGACCTTTATCTTAGGGGGGCCTTTGATGTAAGTGGGACCCCTAATTTTCATGTAAGGGGGGACTCTGATGTAAGGGAGAACTCTTGACTTTCATCTGAGGGGGGTCTGATTTAAGGAAGAACTCTAGACTTTTATCTGGGGGGGTACACTGATTTAGAGGGGGACCTGAATTTTTCTATCAGGTCCTCTTCTGGTGATTGAAAGCAGCAGAGGGCGGGTGCAATAGCTAGTTTGCTAATGCAAAGTGCAATAGCCAATAGGAATCTATCTATGCATTCTTATGCCTTTTTTTAAATATTCTGACGACTGCAACTGTCAGAATACTAAAAACAAAATCAGAAAAAAACCTGCAGATAGCAAAGAAGCTATTGCTTCCTGTGCTATCTGCCATCATTTCAGGGGGGTGCTCTCTCCCTGCCCCCCTAACCCCTCCTCTGCGGATGGGGGGGGGGAGGGGGTAGAGGGCACCTCCCTGAAATTGCTTCTTTCAGGTTGGGATCCCTGAAGAGGGGACTCTGGACTGCCATGTAAGGGGGGCTGTGATATAAGAGGGAACCCTGGACTGCCATGTAAGGGGGGCTGTGATATAAGAGGGAACCCTGGACTGCCATGTAAGGAGGGCTGCGATATTAAAGGGCACTCTGGACTGTCATGTAAGGAGGGCTGCGATATTAAAGGGCACTCTGGACTGTCATGTAAGGAGGAACACTGATGTAAGTGAGACTCTGACTTTCATCAGAGGGGGGGCATGTTCAAACCATACCCGGACCAGAAAGTTTTTTTGTCATCACCTGAAATGCATCCCAATGTATTTCTGGGATTTGTTAATACCAGTGCAGTCAAAAAAAATGCTGCATGCACTATTTTTTTCTGGCCTGGAACGCACCAAAACACATGTAAACGCATCAAAAATGCACGCAAATGCACCAGACTGCACCTGAAAGCCAATTTTAAGCTAAAAATCAAACAAAAAAATGCACCAGTACATGTCAAATCGTACCACACCGCGCTTGCAGATCTGATCTAGATCTGGTCCGGACATGGTGTGAACAAGCCCTTAATCAGGATCCCCAGAGTTCCCCTTTACATCAGAGTCCTTGGAACGCTGAGGTAAAGGAGGACTCTAGGTACTCTGACGTAAGGCAGATCTCTGGGGGTCTCTGATGTAAGGGGGGCTCTGGTGACCCTGTTGCTAGGTGGGACTCTGGGCACCATAACCCAGACTCCCCATAACCCCGCTCACATCAATGTCCTTAGGACTCTGATATAAAGGGGGACACTGATGTAAGGGGGAACTCAGGGGACTCTGATGTAAGGGGGGACTGTGATGCAAGGAGGACTCTGGGGACTTTTTAAATCAATGATTTGTGTTGATAATATGATAAAGTTATTTAACATACGGGTCTCGGATTTTGAAAAAGTGTACATATTTCACCGCACACCTGACCAATGTACCCAATGTACCCCTTGGTGGCTGCTGACGTGACAATGGCGCTGCATACATGCAAGAAGTACATATGTCACCAGCACACGAGGATCTTCATTCAGTAACATTTATTGATGTTCAATCATAGTATCACACGTTA